CATCGAAAATAAATTACCTTTCTTGTCCAGCGGTATCCCATAGTTGTAATAAGACTCGTTGCCCTCTTCCGCCAAAGCCTCCGCGGCCACTTTTATAAACCTTAAATGAAAAAACTTTGTGTGATTGAAAATTTGCAGCTATTCTAAAAAGTTGACTTTATTCTGGAATAGATTGCAAAATCTATCCGCCAGTTACGTCACAAAGTAATAATTTTATACTGCAATTATGAAAAAAGTTGGAAAAACACTAAAATAATCCTAAAATTTACAGTCTTGATCACTGCGAATAAATAATGCATCTAAATCGTTTCTTTTCTAAATTTTTTGAGGGGTACTGAAATCTCCACAAGTGGACTAAGGAATTTTTTGCCGCGTTGATAAACTCCTTAAGTTTGTAAAACACGCCGAGTGCGACAGATCTCAGCAATCTTCATTATGATAATATTATTGGAATGATGAAAGAAGAAAAGAGATATAACTAGAGACATGGAAAAAACAATCTTAAAAAGTGCAAGTGAAAGCTATGTCATTTCAATGTGGCGGTGCAGAAGTTTGAAAATTGAGGTTGGTTAATGGGTCGAATAGACCCAGAGAAAATATGTAGAAATTTCTGCATGAAACTATTCATAATGCGTGCCAATACTCCAGCATTCGTAATCCGCACTACCAAACAGCAAATTCTTGTGCTTGTTAACGAGGTAAGGTACGCTGCCTTTCAAGTGAAAAATGGAAAGGCTCACAGCAATGACGGCATCAATATCGAACTCATCAGATCCAAGCAGCATAAAATTTGGTGTTCTCTTCCTACTCGGTTTAGTCGGTATTTAGTCAAAAGAAGGATTCGCAGCAGTTGGAAATAGTCTAAGCTGTTCTTCTGCGCAAAATAGTTAAAAAAAGATTTAATCGTCTGTCCCTCATATCTGTGAGCTAATCACGAAAGTTATTATTAACCGGCTAACATAACTTTCCAATGTGCAGTAGCCAAGGAGACAAGTTGGACCGCGAAGTAATTAGAATTGGCTCAGATACATCAAATAAGAAGTAGTACTAATTGCAAAAATGCAACTCGGAATCAAAAGGCATTAGCGCAGCCTGGCATTTAGGAAAATCCCAATAAGATCGCTAAAATGGCATGCCATATTGGCCATCTAGACGGTCTTTTCTTGGTATTCTTGGTGAGAACGTCGTTATTTGCACCGACTAATAAATCCCAGATAAGCCAGAGCAGCAGATTCAATAATGAACTTACAACTTTTTTCTCTTTGAAATCGATGCCGACGGTTGATATAAACTGACCAGTGAATGTGTTGTCTGTATATCGATGCTGAAATGATTTAGTTGTCACCGCTGACCAGAAGAAATTGACATATTTTAATGCCTTAATTTATGACCCCTAAAAATCCTTGAATTTTCTTGCAGTTATAATAGTAAGACCTGCTGATTGGTTGAGCCATCGTTAGTACTACATTCGTAGGGGTAGCAATTTGCGCACGTTAGTGCTGTTTGGGAATAATGATCTTCAGTTACGTTGAAGCTATTCGGGGGAACCCCAAAAATTCATCGCTAGCCGTGAGACCGGAGTCCGTTAGGCTTCAAACAGTATAAACCCACACGCAAGATGTGTAAGAAAGTACCCCGTTTGGTAAATAAATAAATGAAAGAGTATGTGGATTGTTGCTAAAATTGTTGCCCTGCAACTTGAAAGCTTAAATTGAAGAAGTAAAAAATCTAAAAAAAAGCCGCTGCCTCGAGGAGAGGTGCAAGCAAGCTGATTCAGAATTGGAAAAAACAAACAGTCACAGTCATGCTGATTGCCAGCCGCTTTTGGCACACTGCTTTCATATAAGCAAAGATATTTCTTCTAGAAATGAAAATACGTAGGTTTCGCAAATACTTTCCTGGGGCGTAAATCTGGTCACAAAATCCTCAAGGCGTTTCATGGTTTGGTAAAGAAAAGGTTTACTCTTTTTTGCCCAGCCAATACTGCTGCATTTAAGAAAGCCAATTAGAAAACCCTAGGCTGGAACGCATCAAGCTTGCCGATGCCACCACGCGTTTTTGCATCTGATTTGAAGTAGTTAGGTCGTTAACTGCACAAAT